GGAATGAAGGATGTCATTGCTGATGTTAGATGGATGTTGACTGGAAGCAGAATACACCAGAAAAATGTTTACCTATGCTCATTGACTATACAGAGGTATTCAACTATGTGGATCATAACAAATATTGATAACATTGGGAAAAATGGGAATTTCAGAACACTTAATTGTGCTTACACGGAACCTGTACCCAGACCAAAAGGCAGTAGTTTGGACTCAATGAGGGAATACTGGTTTGAAATCAGGAAAGGTATGTGACAGGGTTGTATCCTTTCACCATACTTATTCAATCTGTATGATGAGCAAATAATCTGAGAAGCTGGACTAGATGAAGAAGAACATGGCATCAGGATTGAAGGAGGACTCATTAACGACGTGAAATATGCAGATGACTCAACCTTCCTTACTGAAAGCAAAGAGGACTTCAATATGGATTAGACCTCAACATAAAACAAAAATCTTCACAACTAGACCAATAAGCAATATCATGGTAAACAGAGAAAAGACTGACATCAAGGATTTCATTTTACTTGGATCAACATTCAATGCCCATGGAGATGGCAGTCAGGAAATCAAAAGGAGTCATGCATTGGGTAGATCTGCTGCCAAAGACCTCTTTAAAGTGTTAAAGAGCAAAGAAGTCACCCTCAGGACAAAGATAGGCCTGACCCAAGCTATGGTGTTTTAAATAATCTCATATGCATGCAAAAGCTGAACAAGAAATAAGGAAGACTGAAGAAAAACTGATGCACTTGAGTTATGGTCTTGGCTAAGAATATTGAATATACCATGGACTGCTGGAAGAACAAATAAATCTGTCTTGGAACAAGTACAACCAGAATGCTTCTTAGAAGTGAGGATGGCGAGACTTCATCTCTTGTACTTTGGTCATGTTATCATGAGAGACCAGTCCCTGGAAAAGGACATTGTGCTTGGTAAGGAGGGTCAGCAAAGAAGAGGAATACTTTCAATGAGACGGATTGACACAATGGCTACAGCAGTGGGCTGAAACATAGCAATGACTGTGAGGATGGTGCAGGATAAGGCAGTGTTCATTCTGTTGTGCATAGAGTTGTTATGAGTTGGAACTGACTCGACGGCATTGAACAATAACATAGTAGTTCTGTTTTTAGTGTTTTGAGGGACCACCACAGTGTTTTCCACAAATATTGTGGAACAATAAATAAATAAATATTTGTACCTTTTTGCATTCCCACCGGCAGTGGGTAAGGGTTCTAGTTCTTCCACATCCTCACCAACATTTGTCATTACTTATTTATTTAGTTTTTGCATCTCTGATGGCTAATGATGCTGAGCATTTTTTCATGTGCTTGGGGCCATTTGAATGTCCCCTTTGGTGAAATGTATATTAAAGTCCTTTGCCCACTTTATGACTAGGTTATTTGTCTTGTTGCTACATTGTCAAAGTTTTATATATATTTTAGTTATTAGGTTCTTACTGGATATATGGTTTCTGAAGATAATCTCCCCGTCGGTAGCTTGTCTTTTCACTTTTTTGGGAAAGACTTTTGATGAACAAGTTTTTAATTTTTATGTTGTTGTTAGGTGCCATCAAGTCGGCTCCTACTCATAGCGACCCCATGTACAACAGAATGAAACACTGCTCAGTCCTGCACCATCAACACAATCTTTGCTTTGTTTGAGCCCATTGTTTCAGCTACTTTGTCAATCCATTTCAGTGAAGGTCTTCCCCTTTTACGCTGACCCTCTACTTTACCAGGTTTCATATCCCTTTCCAGGGCCTGATCCCTTCTGACAACATGACTAAAGTATGAGCAATGAAGTCTGGCCGTTCTTGCTTTTAAGGAGAATTCTGCCTCTTCCAAGACATGTTTGTTTGTCCTCCTGGCAGTCCATGGTATTTTCAGTATTCTTTATCAGCACCATAATTCAAATGCATCAACTCTTCTTTGGGCTCCCTTATTCATTGTCCAGCTTTCACATGCATGAGCCTATTGAAAATACCATGGTTTGGGTCAGATGTACTGTAGTCTTCAACGTGAATCTTGGCTTCCCAACATTTTAAAGAGATCTTTTGCAGAGATTTTGCCCAGTGCAATTCACTGATTACTTGACTGCTGCTTTCATGGGTGTTAGTTGTGGATCCAAATAAAATGAAATCCCTGGCAACCTCAATCTTTTCCCTATTTATCGTGATGTTGCTTATTGGTCCAGTTGTGGAGATTTTTGTTTTTTTTATGTTGAGATGCAATCCATACTGAAGGCTGTAGTATTTGAGCTTTACCAGTAATTTTTATGAGGTCTCAATTACTTATTTTGTCTTTTCTGTATGTGGTTTTGTTATGTTAAATAATCAATTGAAGGCTAGGCCTGAGAGTTTTACTTCTGTTTATTCTAAGAATTTTATGGTTTTAATTTGTAGGTCCTTAATCCATTTTGAATTTGTTTGGATTCTGTTTCATTTTTCTGCATGTGGAAATCCAGTTCTCCCAGCACCATTTATTGAAGGGACTCTTTCCCCATTAAATGGGCTTAGCACCCTTGTCAAAAATCAGTTGATCACAGATGTGTGGGTTTATTTCCGAGCTCTCACTTCTGTTCCGTTGGTCTGTGATATGTGTCTTTTGTTATATCAGTATGTTTTTAAAATCAGGAAGTGTGATTCTTCCTACTTTGTTCTTCTCTTTCAAGATTGTGTTACCTGCTCGGGACCTCTTGTCATTCCATATCAAGTTTAAGATTGGTTTTTCTATTTCTGTGAAGAGGCTGTTAGAATTTTGTTTGGTACTATGTTGGATCTATAGATAACTGTGGGTCATATTGACATCTTAACAATACTCTATCTTCTAATCCATGAACACAGAATATCCTTTCCATTTATTTTCATCTTCTTTAATTTCTTTCAGCACTGTTTTATAATTTTCATTGTATAAGTTCTGCATGTACCTGGTTAGATTTATTCCTAAGTTTTTTTATTCTCTTAGATTCTGTTGTAAATGGAATTATTTCCCTAAATTTCCTTTCAAATTTCTCATTGCTAGTGCATAGAGACTCAATTGAGTTTTATTTGTTGTACCCTCCAACTTTGCTAAATTCCTCTATTATTTCTAGACATTTTCTTGTGGACTCTGTGATTTTCTATGTATAGGATCATATCATCAGTGAATAGAAATAATTATACTTCTTCCTTTTCCATCTTAATGCTTTTTATTTCTTTTTCTTATTGCTGTGGCTAGGACTTCTAAGACAATATTGAACAGAAGTGGTGGAAGCAGACACCATTATCTTGTTCCCCTTTTAAGGGGAAAGCTCTGAATCTTTCTCGATTAAGTGTAATATTGGTTTTGTCTTTTCATATATGCCCTGAATCATATGGAGGGATTTCCTTTCTATTCCAATATTTTTTAGAGTTTTCATCAAGAAAGGGTTAATCAAAGGTTGAAGTTTATGAAATGCTTTTTCTGCATCCATGTGGTTCTTGTCCTTTGTTTTATTGATGAGATGTATTACACTGATTGATTTTTCTAATGTGAACAATCATTGCAATCCTAGAATAAGTCCCACTTGGTCATGGTGTATGGTTCCTTTAATATGCTTTTGGATTCTGTTCACTAGTATTTTACTGAGGATTTTTGCATGTATTAAGAGATACTGTCCTGTAGTTTTCTTTTCTTGTGATGTCTTTGTCTTGTTTGATTATCTGGTTATGTTTGCTTCATAGAATAAATTAAGGAATATTCCTTCCTTCTTTATATTTTGGAACAGTTTAAACAGTTGGTGTCAATTCTTCCCTAAATGTTTGGTATAATTCCCCAGTGAAGCTATATGGTCCAGGATTTTTTTTTGTTTGGAGGTTTTTGATCACTGATTCAATCTCTTTTCTTGTTATGGGTTTGTTGATACTTTCTATTTCCTCTTGAGTTATTTTGGGTAAGTTATGTGCTTCTAAGAATTTGCCTATTTCATTTTTGTTATCCAGTTTTTTGCTATATAATTTTTCATCATTTGTCGTAATTGTCTTTATTTCTGTCAGGTCAATTGTAATGTCCCCTCTTCATTTTTTTATTTTGGTTATCTGCATCTCTTCTTTTCTTTGTCAGTGTAGTTAAAGATTTATCAATTAATCTTTTCCAGAAACCAACTTCTGGTTTTATTCATTCTCTTTATTGTTTTTCTCTTTTGAATTTTAATTTATTTCTCCTCTGATGTTTGTTATTTCCTTTCTTCTGGTAGGATTCAAGCTTAGTTTGCTCATCTCTTTCTGGTTCTGTGGAGTTGTCAAATTAGGCTGTTAATTTGAGAGTTTTCTTATTTTTTTTTTATGTAGACATTCATTGCTGTAAGTTTCCTTCTGAATACTGCCTTTGTTGCATCCTATAAGTTTTGGTATGTTGTACTTTTATTTTCATTTGACTCTTAAGAGATTTATGTCTTCCTGGACCCATTGGTAGTTTAATAATGTTTTGTTTAATTTCCATGTATTTGTGTATTTTCCAGGTTTTTTTTCTATTTTTGATGTCTGCCTTCACTTCCTTGTGGTCAGAGAAAATGCTTTGTATGACTTCGGTCTTTTAGAATTTATTAAAACTTGTTCTGTGACTCCCTGTATAGCAGAAGTGAGAAGGGAATCAGTACTATTGAATGATCACTGTATGTCAGGCCCTATTACTAGGTCATTCAGCTCTTGCTGCATCACATCAGAAATTCAGCTCACATTCTGTCTGCAGCAATGACAGTGGGCATATTGTTCTGACACTCACCTTTCATTATCCAGGAACTAAAGTTTTATTTTTCCATAAAAAAATTTTGGTTGTGCTTTAGAATGTTGGAGTTTCCTTTAATGGCACATTATGGACCTATTACGTTTGACTTTAACCGTTCTTGGATCAATTTGTGTTTTAATCCTGCCTGATCTATTAATTATAATAATAATAAACTTGTATTTTAATATTTTATTTTTTGTTGATGTATTAATTTTGTTCTTTTTAACCACATACCTTTCCCCTCCCCTTTTTTTTTAGTTACTTGAAAATTAGTGTCATACCTTTTGAGATTTCCATCCTGGTCTGTGCTATTTCCATGCTTCCTGCACCTCACTTGGATGAAGTAGAGACATCCCGAATTGAAGCAGTTTTACCTCAGTGTGACCTCAATGAACTGCATAGTTTTGCCACATCTGTTTTAAGATGGATTCAGTATGATCACAAGAATTTATACAGTATTACTGGGAAACAACTGAAATTACTTCAAAAATTAGATCACTATGGACGTCAGAGACTACAAGAAAGCAACAATTTGGATCTGTTGTGGGAGGAACTTAAATTTTTAAAAGGAGACTGGTTTGTTGAGTCACTTCTTGAAGAAACAATTGCTACTTTACAGCGGTTGATGGATGAAATTAATTTCACAAATGTTGCAGGGATTGCATCTTTTATTTCTAGAACTAGCTACCTCAATACTTTGCTACTTGATAGGATAGCCTCAGTAGTCCTTCAGCAGATTGAAAAGGTAAAATTTAAATGTTACACATTAATTTTATATGGTTGTCAACTTCTAGAAGCATAATTTTAATTAAACTCTGGTTTCTAGTTCAACAATTTATTGTTCTTCTCCCTTACACTGGCCCTTAAAGCCATTTTCTTTGTTCCAGCATTGCCAGTCTGAAAAGATTAGCAATCATCCTTTGGGTCGTTACAATATTGTGAAAGATCAATGGTCAAAATTCATTGACTAAAAGGAAATACTTGCAAATAATAATAGTGGTATTGGGATACCTAGCCAAACCAAAACCCATTGCCATTGAGTCAGTTCCAACTCATAGTGATCCCATAGGACAGAGTAGAACTGCCCCATAGGTTTTCCAATGCAAATCTTTATAGAACAGGCTGCCTCATCTTTGTCCTGTGGAACAGCTGTTGGGTTTGAACTGCTGACATTTAGATTAGCAGCCCACTGCTTTAATCACTGCACCACCAGGGCTCCTTGGTATTAAGATAATGGAGTTTTTTCTTTTTCTTATTTTATATAATCCTGTGATGTTATTTTTACTATTTAAAAGTAATTATATTGAAAAGTAAAAGTATGAAAATGGAGAAAATTATAAGGCGTCTATTGACTTTAGTATTCTTAAATGGTCAGTGTATCTTATGGATTTATTTCTAGAGTTTACATGTAAAATGCTACCTTTTGGAATTATGTGAGAAGTAGTTCACTTACAAAATCTCTATTGTATATATCAGGTTTAGGCTTCTACTTTTAAGACTGTATTTTCTCACAGATGAAAATGTAAGTCTGTCTTATTTCTTTACCATAATTACTGGCAGCTATTAAATATTTGATGAGTGAGAGAATAATGAAATAAAAGAATGAATGAACAAAAGAAAAATAAAGGCTAATGATTATAAATTAAGATACAGAATCTTCCTTAATTACATAATATGTCAATTCTTTAAAAGCACTGAGTAACATGGAAATTAGTGATGCAGGTTCCAATTAATTTTAATGATTAATGAATTCTGGGACAGGATTTTAAACCTAACTAATTTATAGATTGTCTGATTTTTTTTTTCCTACAGTAATACTCTTTTGTATATGTGCTGTAGAAGCAAGCACTGTACTAATACTTTCAGAGTTACTACTAATTAATGATGTGGTCAAATACATTATAGCAGTTTGGAAAAACTGTATTTAATACAGAGTAACACATTTTCTATATTTATGTGACATTAGGCATGTTAAAAAAAGAGACTTCTACCTAAAATCGAAATTAGGTTTAAATTTTTGTTTTGTTTTACTTGTTTAAACTATAAACATTTTGTTTTGTTACAGATCCATCCTTTCTCAATCCTTGCTGTTATTCTTCCATTCAGTACTTTGAATTATGATCCACCTCAGAGGGATGAATTCTTGGGAACTTGTATTCAACATGCTGTTTCTTACCTGAGTAGGTATATTATTTGACAGTACATTGAATCAGTATGTCTGTCAGAGGATACTTGCTGCTGGGATAAGAGATATCCCTCAATCACAAGGTAGACATAATAGTATGATTTCTATATCTAAAAAATAAAAAGTTTCTATCCGTTTTTGAAACTTTTTTGGTATGGAAAATGTCAAGCTTATAAGAAAATGGAAAGAACAGAGAATTATCTATTCACTGTGTGGAGCCAATAATTATTAACATTTTATCATATTTACTTTATTTGTTTCTCTCTTTGATTTTTTTTCTGAGTTATTTCAAGTTAAGTTGTAGGCATTATGACCCTTTACCTCTAATTACTTTAACATACACATCCTAAGAATAAGGCATTCTCCTACGGTACTGTTACTACACTTAAGAAAATTAATAATTCAGTAATATGTAATATGTAGTCCTTCTTCAAATTTTCCTAATTGTTCCAAAAATATCTTTTAGAGTGTTTTTTATTTATTGCTTTTTTAACCTAGGATCTGATCAAGGTTCACTCGTATCTGGTTGTTATTGTTATCTCTTTAGTCTCTGATATTTTATATTCCAATCTCTTATGGTTTTTGTTTGTTTGTTTGTTTTTACTTTTCATTGTAGTTTGGGTGAAAATTTATCTTATGTTCTATCTAAAGGAGTCCTGGGGCTCTGATAGTGGTTAATGTATCTGGCTGCTGACCAGCAGTTTGGTGGTTTGAACCCACCAGCCATTCCTTGGGAGAAAGATGAAGCAGTCTGCTTCTGTAAAGATTTCCAGCCTTGGAAAGTCTATGGAGCAATTCTCCTTTATACTATAGGGTCACTATGAGTTAGACTTGACTCAATAGCAGTTTGTTGTTGTCATTTTTGTTTTATGTGCCGTCAAGTTGTCTCTGACTCATAGCGATCTTATGGCTGTGCCAGCCTCATGATCCCTACTATACCTGAGCCCATCGCTGCAGCCACTGTGTCAATCCATCTCATTGAGGGCCTTTCCCTCCTTCATTGACCCTCCACTTTACCAAGCATGACATCTTTCTCCAGAGAATGGCCACTTTTGACAACATGACCAAAGTAGGTGAGACGAAGTCTGGCCATCCTTGCTTCCAAGGAGCATTTTGGCTGCACTTCCTCCAGGACAGATTTGTTAGATCTTTTAGCAGTCCACAGTACTTTCAACATTCTTTGCCAACACCATAACTCAAAAGCATCAACTCTTCTTTGAACTTCCTTATTCATTGTCCAGCTGTCACATGCATATGAGGCGATTGAAAATACCATGGCTTGGGTCAGGTGCATTTTAGTCTTCAAGGAGATAACTTTGGTCTTCAGTGCTTGAAAGAGGTCTTTTGCAACAGATTTGCCCAATGCAATATGTCCTTTGATGTCTTGACTGTTGCTTCCCTTGGCGTTGATTTTAGAACCAAGTAATATGAAGTCCTTGACAACTTCATTCTTTTCTCCATCTATTATGATGCTGCTCATTGGTCCAGTTGTGAGGATTTTTGTTTTCTTTATATTGGGGTGTAATTCATACTGTACACTATAGTCTTTAACCTTCATCAGTAAGTGCTCTAAGTCATCCTCACTTTCAGCAAGCAAAGTTGTGTCATCTGCATATCACAGGTTGTTAATAAGCTTTCCTCCAATCCTGATGGATGTTCTTCATATAGTCTAACTTCTTGGATTATTTGCTCAGCATACAGATTGATAAGTATGGTGAAAGAATACAACATTGATGCACTGCCTTCCTGGTTTTAAACCAGGCGGTATCCCCTTGTTCTGTTCAAACGACAGCCTCCTAGTCTATGTACAGGTTCCTAATGAGTACAATTAAATGTTCTGAAATTCCCATTCTTCTCAATGTTATCCACAATTTGTTATGATGCACACAATCAAATGCTTTTGCATAGTCAATAAAACACAAGTAAACATCTTTCTGGTATTCTTTGCTTTGAGCCAAGATCCATCTGACAACAGCAATGATATCCCTTGCTCCATGTCCCCTTCTGAATCCAGCTTGCATTTCTGAAAGTTCTCTGTCAATATACTGCTGCAACCGTTTTTGAATTATCTTCAGTAAGACTTTACTTGTGTGTGATATCAATGATATTGTTTGATAATGTCCACATTCTGTGGGATCACCTTTCAATGGCAGTAGGTTTGGTTTTTTTGGTAAAGGGAGGCCTGATGGTGCAATGGATAAGTACTCGACTGCTGGCCAAAGATTGGTACTTCAGACTCACCAGTGGTTTTATGGGAGAAAAGACATGGTGATCTGCTCCTGTGAAGATCATAGTCTAGAAACCCACATTTGATGTGTGTGTATGTGTGTATGTGAGTGTGATGAAGCATTTGAGGTGTCACCTGTACATACTTCAGGAATTCAGGTTATAAGGACATTCTTCTATACAGCCACAATACCATTATCACATCTAAGAAAATGAAAAATTCTACTACCAGCCCATAATCCGATTTTCCTAATTGTCACTGAATAGTCTTTTATAACTTTTTTCATAAAACCAATATTTGATCTGTCATGTCACTTTCCCACCATCTTTTAATTTTTTCTTCACATCGACTTTTTGTAGAAAAGAGGATGGCCATTTACTATAGATTGTGCCACATTCTGGATTTGTCTGCCTTTTTTAACTTACCCCTTTATGTCATGTATTTCCAATAAACCAGAAGTTAGGTATAGGGACTTAATTACATTCAGATTAAACATTTTTTTAGGGTTCCATACACTTTATTTTCAGGGTCCCATCTTTACAAGCATGCCATGAACCTTATTTACATTATTAACAAGCTATCCAATACTGTTAGTGGGCCAAAAGCACCTCACATTTACATAGTTCCACCCAGGCATCTGGCAGGAGTCACAAAGACCATGGCTAAAAGGGCCATACCAAGCAGTACACTTGAACTGTATAGTAGTCAAGCACTTAACCATTTGTATCATAAAATAACATGAGACAATATAAGACAATAGCTTATATGAGGTAATTGTCCAGAGTTTGCTTTTATTCCATGAGTATCCCATGCAGTCCCTAAAAAATTCTGAGAGTTACTATCAATACAAGTGAAAACAACAAAGAGTTCACCAATGTAAAAATATACAGATATGTGCATGTTCATATGGTATATAAATCCATAGAAGCATTCTTTGGATGAAGTTACATTTTCTAAACAATCTTTTATGAAAAATGTGTACAAGATTGGTTATTTATTGACATTTATTGTAAAATAAATTCAGACACTTCCAATTTAGAAATGTTTCCTGATTTCTATGATCTCTTCTCAGAAAATTGGAGTTCTTTTATGACTTGTTTTGGTGTAGGCATAATGTTTGTGCTCTGGTTCAGTCTTAGATGTTGCTAGTTTCAATTAGAAAGGAGCTATCATAATTTTTCAGATGGTTAAAGGAGAAGCAAGAGACTTGTAGCCTTTTTTGCTGACTCAAATACTTCTTTTCAAATTCTGGTAGGCCTTGGGTAGCTCGGTTGCCAGTTAACATATAAAGGTTAAAACAAGAGACATAGAAGCCAAGAAAGGAGAAGTGAACACTTCCTTGTTTTGTTTCGTGACCTCAAAGAAAAAGAGACAAGCTGTGGTGGATTAGAGCATAAATGTATCATTCAACTGCCTGGGTTAGTAACTCTACTTTGGGTTAGCTGGGTTAACTGCCTTCTAGTTAGTCCTCAACTCATGCAATCCCATGCACAAGGGAACAGAACTAAACACTGCATCTTTTTGACCCATAGGGTTTTCATTGGCTGATTTTTTCAGAAGTAGATCACCAGGCCTTATTTCCCAGTCTTAGTCTGAAAGGTCCACTGAAACCTGCTCAGCATCATAGCGACACAAGCCAACATTGATAGATTGGTGGTAGCTATGCATGAATGAAGTTGGATCTCCTGCATTTAGTAAGGACTTAGTAACTACCTTTTACTTGTTTAATCATTATGATTATCATTATATTTTCCTACTCTATTCTACCTCAAAAGTTTCAACCATCCTATCCAACTAAATTAAAAAATCACTTTGCAAAATAAAATAACAGCACACATCCAGGACATCAGATGAGGACAAAAATGATATATTGGAAAACACCTGATCTTGGGCTTCATCTCTGCCTCCTGCTCCCGGCCCACTGAAGCTAGAGGCATTTCTTCACTCAGGCAGCTAGCTACTGGCTGCTGAGGCTAACAAGCTCAAGGTTGACAAACAAAATGGCACAGTCCTAACGTTACCAAACCACACGGCAGGCCAGTAATTCAAGTCCATTCTAAGTCCCAAGGTCAGCAGAGCATGACAGACTGCTGAGCAATGACACAGCTACATGTAGGGTTCAAATGTGCCATAAGCTAGAGACTATCCCCAAGGCTTCTCCTTGTGTACAGGAAGCAGACCATATCCCAAAGGCAGCTACTCAACTGCTTGTGGTAGATCCCACCATGGAATTGATTGCCAGTTTCATCATGGGGAGTAACTACCACCAGCTGCCCAGCCACTCAACCAGGCCCAGCCAAGTTTACACACAAATTTAACTACCACAGGCACCATCCAGTTTTTCTGGTCTCATGACAAAGGAGGCAGTAGTTCATGGAGGCAACTAAACCTATAGTCTGCTTCTTTCTCTGCTGCTCCAGGTGATAGAGACCAGTTGTATCTTGGATGATTGTTTGGAATGTTTTTTTAGGTTTTTGTTTTGTAAAAGAAAACAAATAATCTTTTTTTTTTTTTTTTTTTTAATTTATTGTGCTTTGGGTGAAAGTTTACAGAGTAAATTCATCTTCCATACAGCAAACACTTTTTTTCATAACATTGACTGCAATCTCCCACAATGCAACAGCTCTCCTCCCACTTCCTCCCCATAGCCACCTCTTCCCTGTGTCCTTCCCTCCCATGCACTCCTGCCCCCTGAGCTGTCTCCCTGTGCATACACAGCCCTTCTATTCTCCCATAATTGATCTCTCCAAGGAGTGTATCCACCTAAT